AATTAAAAATAAATACAAGATCTACGAAAGAGGAATTGAGATTTTGGAGGTTTAACAAGGCTTCTAACTAAAAATTCTGCAATTTATATAGAGTAGAAATCAAAATGGATCTTGGAGATAAAGAAAAATGAATTCACAATAGTAATAGTAATTTTAAATTAGGGTAAATACATAACCAAAAATATATGTGGATCAGAAAATTTCTTTTTCCTCTCAAATTTTAAAGTCTGTGTATCATCAAGTTGTTAAGATTTGAAATAATTTAAATTTTGAAATGATGAGAATATAGTCTAAAATCATGTTTTTGCAATCAACTCATTACATTTTAGGAATTAAAATAAATAAAAGATCTACAAAAAAGGAATTGAGATTTTGGACTTCTAGAAAGGCTGTCACTAAGAAACCCTTCAAGAATTTATATAGATGTAGATATGTAAATATGGTAGGGTATTTCTGTATGGGAGGAAAATAATGTATGGTATTTGGTATTTAACGGTGGGAATGAGAATATAGTCTATAATCATGATTTTGCAATCAACTCATTACATTTTAGGAATTAAAATAAATAAAAGATCTACAAAAAAGGAATTGAGATTTTGGACTTCTAGAAAGGCTGTCACCAAGAAACCCTTCAAGAATTTATATAGATGTAGATATGTAAATATGGTAGGGTATTTCTGTATGGGAGGAAAATAATGTATGGTATTTGGTATTTAACGGTGGGAATGAGAATATAGTCTATAATCATGATTTTGCAATCAACTCAATACATTTTAGGAATTAAAATAAATAAAAGCATTTTTCACCAATTATAGCCAAAATGATTCATTTTCTTCCAATAATATAACTAAAGTGACTAAAAATAATATAAAATATCATACAATTATTACGTAAATTAGTCACTTATCATAATGCTGGAAAATTCGTTCTCTCGATATTGTCTTTATTAATCAAAGCAAAGAGTTCGGCTATGTATAGCCGAAGTACAAATCCAAATGGGCCAAGACTTAACTACTTAATTAACCAACTAAGAACTAACTAATTAAGGCCCAACTTAAGTTTTAAACTGGCCAAATTATTTTACTAACCTCAAAGGCCCAAAACAACTCAATTAAAACAACAACTATGTGGTTGCAAGTTACACGCAAGTTGGCCCAATTTATTCTTAACACAAATTAAGGTCCTATTTGATAACACAATTCAACACTTAAACTTAAAAATTAATCTTATATACACTATCACCATTAGATATACGACACACGTGCAAATTTTGAATTTGAAATTCAAAATTTGCTTATGAGTCATCCATCCAATCATGATAGTGTATACACTGAAAGTGCATATAAAATTTACTCTAAAATTAATGGATTCGGATCTTAATATGTTCAGATGTATTTGATAACAAAAAATTAAACATCTAAATTAATTAAGTGATACTGAATTTTCTAGACAAAACTTGCTCTCGAAAATAAGTGATAAGCTATTCACTTATCACTGAATGTGATATACATTCAAATATATTTGATTTAATACTTAACAATTCAATAACTTAATGGATTCAAATTTCAAATTTTAGTTTCATCAAACGCACCCTAAGAGAAATAGACGACGCCAAATCAGTAAAGAATCTGCTCCTTGATCTGCTTCATGAATTAAGGTTTGTGGCGCAGATTCCCCATCAATATCTTCAAAGCCTTGATTTGAAGCTTGGTTTGCAAAATCGTCAGCTTGAAAACCCTGAGAATTTGAGAAATTGATCCCTTTGACTTCACTAAAATGAAAGTAATGGAAGACATTTCACCATACTCGAATCCTAGCAATCGGATCAACACTTGGACAGCTTTTGTGCTCATAAAATCATCAATGAACACACCTCAATTATAAAGAGAAGCCACACCTGCGCCCAAACATCACAAAAGAAGTTAATTTGATCTTAGAAACCCGTGATATATACGAAGCCTAACAAAAGCACAAGAGAGAAACAACCACAGCCATTCGTTCACATTGAATAGAAAATTCCAAGTCCAATTCATCTAGATGGTCAGGGCTATCAGAAATTTTTTTGTTGTAATTAGGGGGCACCGTATATGGACTGGAGGCTGTCAGAATCTTCTTGTTACGAAGTCAGGTTTTACAAAACAGATTGAAAGTGAGTTTAAGATTAAAAATGTTTTCTAACCATTATATAGAAAGGAATAACTAAAAAGAATGAGTGCTCACGTTCACGACCATGCTTTTTGTTGTATGAGAATGAGTGCTCAATTCTAATTGTCATATGAGTATAACTATGAAATGACAATAGTTATTGTCTAGCTCTTTCTTTGGTCATAGTAATCAAATACAATTATACTAAAAGCTATGCCATAATTGATAACCTTGTGGGATGATTGTTATGTACTTAGAACAAAAATTGAAGAGGAAAGATTTTTCTTCAATTGAGGTTTGTGAGCAAATTGTTTCATTTATTTTACTCTTACCTTTATTACATCAGGTTCGTTTGATTCGTATGACATGTTGGATTTTTTTGGCTTTCGTTTGTTTTACTTCAAACATTTTGAAAGTTCTTACTGGAAAAAACAACCTTTTCTTTTGAAAGTTCTTATGGAAAAAAAGCAGCCTTTGCCTTTCAAAGTTGTTATGGAAAAAGCAGTCTTTTCTTCTCATAAAAGTAGGTGTGAAATATCATAAATTATCATATAGAGTCAACTCATTTGCTATGCAAAACTTTTTTTTTATTATTTTTCTTTGGCTAGAATGGAAAAGAATATTCAAAAGAATCACAGCATGCATGCACACAAATTCAATCACGAAATAATCAATGTGACTTTTCTGCTCATTTTTATTAGAGCTTTCTATTTGTATCTTTTGTAATTCCACATATACTTAAACTCTTTCTTGTGTTCTTCATTTGACATGCTTTTCGTATGCATATAGACCAAAATAGTGTGAGTCATTTCTATTACAAAATATCTTATTTTCTTCTTAGATGGCTGATTTGTTATTATTTGCAGCAATTGAGTCATTTCTATTTACAAAATGACAACCACTAGCCTCAAAGTCTAACATAGTTAGAGACATAGCATCCTACTCCCAAGTGGATGGTATTAGTATTTCAACAGGAAATTGAGGGCATATGTAGGAAAATTGTCTTAAAAGGCATATTAGATAAATCAAAAAAGTAAAAAAAAAAAAAAAAAAAAAAAAACACCCATCAATAAATCATTCAAAGCACTTTTATATATAGTACAGATTTGTAACAATTGAAGCACCTCACATAAGCTCGGCATTCCTACTAGGATATTATCCACCATCCAATCAAGCTGCAGTTTTCACTTTTGGATACCTTAATTGCTCTCTAATTGCTTCTCCCTTTACATTTTTTGTTTCGTGCTTCAACTTCTAATTTTAGATTGTGATGGATAACCACCAAATTTTTTATTTAGGCCAAGATGCACAATTTATGGATCATTGCATGACTTGAGTGAAAACTTAACAAGTCATCCTGCACGATAGATGTGGCAAAATGGAATCCATACAAAGCAAGTTTAAATGGATTTGTATAAAGGGTAATGACTTTAGATTGCACGATAGATGTGGCAAAATGGAGTCCATACAAAGCAAGTTTAAATGGATTTGTATAAAGGGTAATGACTTTAGATCGACAACGATTTCAACCCAATTGAATTGATGGATTTGCATGAATTATTCACTTGATCCATAAAAAATCCATTTTGCAAAATAGATTGCGGTGGGAACGAGGACCAAGACTCGTCTCACGCCCACCACCAAGTCTACAAACAGATAGCACGCAAGCGAAGTCAGGACCTGCAACCTCTTCTTTCCAGATTGGTGTTCTGGCAGTCCACAATACTAGAGAACGTCACAGTTGAACGCTTGAATAATTGACAAAAAAACAAGTGGAGCTAGAAGCAAATAGTTAAAATATTGATAGCTAGCCTCTCCAAGATATTTAAATTTGATAAGAATCTTGCTTGTTATTGTCTTCTACTTCCTTTAGTATTTTTCCTTTTTTTTTTTGTAGATTTTTTCCCTTAGTTGCTTAATGATCAAATGTTCTTTGTAGATTTTTTTTGTAGATTTTGTTAGATTTTTCCCCTTCGATTTTTTAAGTACTTTTAAATATATTGTTTGAAATATAGTTCCATAAGTACTGATTCTATTAAACAATGTGTAATTTAAAAATTTTTAAATGTATTTATCTCTTTATTTAGTTCATAATATAAGATAAAATGATTAAATTTAATATTTTATTTTTTATATCACAAAAGCTAGTCTAAAAGCACCAAATTTTGATATTTTGCTAAAAGTGCTTTTAACACCAAAAGCCCTACTCCTAATTTTATGGGATAATGTTTACAAAATGCCTTAATAGTACTTTTATCACATAAAAATGCTTTTTTAACCAAAAGTATCGCAACCTCAAATGTGGTCTAAATCTATGCCAAGTACTAAATTCATCATTATCATATGTTTAAACTCAAGTTGCTTTTTTAAAAAAAAAAAAATTCAGTAGAAAAAGGGTGAAACTTGAGAAGCAGGAAGGAAGGAAGAGATTTGAACTCAAAACTAATTCTTCAATTTGGCCTTAATCAAGGACTCCTCACCCAAGTTGCTTCCCTTTTCCTTTTTTTTTTTTTCTCAATCTTTTTCATTTTCACTCAAATTTTCTAGTAGTATAGTTTGCTCCAATTTCTATCCTGATTATAGAATGAAATTTTTATTGCCTAATCTTTTACACAACATGGAAATGGAAAAAAAAAAATCACTCTTTTTTCTTTGACTGGTAGCGGCTTGAGAAAATCTTTCGCATTATCTTTGTATTAGATCTATTGGATTACATTCTAACCAATCATTATAATCAGTTTTGATGAATTCCTAATTAAATTAATAAAAATAGAGTAAGGCAATAAAGAGGCGTGGAAATAAACTTTAAATTGTGAAACATCATCCAGGAACCAAAAAGACTTGCAAGAACAAAATTTGGACAAGAAGAATCCGTATGCACACCAAAATAAAAAACTACTGTACTATGAATGGATCATCCAGTATCGTTTGGAATTGCAGGATTTTGAAGCTGTTTCACTTCAATCCGACGCGGCTCTGGCTTGGAGAGCCTCTGATCTAGCGTTGGATCCAGCATTGGCCAACAAGAAGATTTTTTGCTGTCTTCTCATTTTCTTGATATTTCTTTCCTTTTCGGTTTCAGATGTTTTTCGCCTATAAATAGATGTCATTAGAACTTTTGTTAGTAGACTTTTAATTAATCATTATTCAACTATTGTTGGTTTATTGTAATTTTCTTGAATGTTTTCAAAGGTTTACCTTGATTCTTTTGAATCATTTTTGAGTAGTGATTAAGACACACTTTGAGTTCAACTTTTTTTTTATTTTTGTTAGAATAAATAAAGTAGAAAATTAACTCGTTCATGCGAGTTTGACCCTGAAATACTCCAAGTAATTTATTATTACGATCGATTCTATGTGCCTGCAGGAATTCTTCGATCAGGAACAAGTAAACAACTACAAACAACCAAGCTTCTGTAACGTTTCAAACAAATAACACAAAGCAAAAAAAAAAATTAGAAAACAAACCTTTTGCTGAATAACAAATTAAAAGAAATTCATAACAAAAGAAGAGAAAGCCAAACGATTCTGAAAAAAGTAGGATGAATATTTTCAACCTATTTGACAAATCAACTAATTGAAAAGCATTCAAACTACGACTTTTTGTGAAAGAAATAACAATATATTATAGAAACAAAATTAGTTTATCACATAAATGAATCACAAATTTTGTAGGAACCAACATTTTTTGCATTTAAAATCATAAAAGTGAAAATGGAAAACCAACTCAGAAACCCAAAACATGCACAATTGATGAACCCTGAATCCCAAAAAGTAATGAGGAAAGAGACACAATCAAAAGCCTGAAGATAACTAATTTTAGAGCACAATTAGAGCCTAGTGTTCATATAATCACGTCAAAGCAACTGCATTTGACAAATTCTGAGTCCAATGATGAAATTACTAACCTTATTCAATATATATGCAATAAAGCTAGGTTTAGAGAATAAATTCAGCCTCACATACTAAATTCAGATTAAATAGTGGAATTCTAGTTACAAGATTATTTGCAGACGTATATGTAAATCTATTCTTTGTAAACCAAAAAATACCCAAAAAAAAAAGAGCAATAAACTTGATACGAACGCCACCAACCTTGTGACGAAACCAGTAAAAGACAAGCCCCAAATTTTCAAGGTTTCAAGAATTTCAAGATTCGAAAAGTTTGAGCACAAGAATTCAAGAAACCTTAAAGATTGTATTAAGATCTTCAAGAACTTCCGGAATTTAATCAAGAAATTCAAGAAACTCAAGAAAGATTCAAGAAACGAACATGAACAGCCAAGATTTCCCCAAAATTTCAAGAACTTCAAAAACCAAAGTTTAGGGTTTCAAGTATCAAGTGCGAACAGCTCACACAATCCAAGATTCAACAAGACTCACGAAGAAACCCTAGGCAAGAACTTTGGATTTCCAAGAAGCATTTTGAACAGAATTTTTTTTTCGAGATGGACAATAACACAGATGAACAGTACCACGAATGAACAATAACTTTTTTTTAACTCAAAACACAAAACCCTAGAATAAGAACGACAAAGATGCAAACAAGAAAACTAAATGGGATATAACTTTGATACCTTCAACTAACTCTAATATCAGACATAACTCGTAGCACCACAATCCGCAAGGATCTAGAATCAATATCAAGATTTAGGTAACAAAAATCAAAATGCTCAAGAAATGGCTCAAGAACATTTGATCAGTAGACTACGCCACAATCAAGATAACTACTTGATTGATAAGTCAATAAGCATTTTAAAACCACTCTAAGGTGTTCAAGGATAGCTCACAAAGAAGCCAAGAGGGAAACACACATGTTTAATGCTGGAAAATTCGTTCTCTCTATTGTCTCTATTAATCAAAGCAAAGAGTTTGGCTATTCATAGCCAACGTACAAATCCAAATGGGCCAAGACTTAACTACTTGATTAACCAACCAAGAACTAACTAATTTATAGCCAAAGTACAAATCCAAATGGGCCAAGACTTAACTACTTAATTAACCAACTAAGAACTAACTAATTAAGTCCCAACTTAAGTTTTAAACTGGCCAAATTATTTTACTAACCTAAAAGGCCCAAACCAACTCAATTAAAACAACAACTATGTGGTTCCAAGTTACATGCAAGTTGGCCCAATTTATTCTTAACACAATCAACTAAATAACTAAGAAATTAAGGTCCTGTTTGATAATTCAATTTAACACTTAAACTTAAAGATTAATCTTATATGCACTGTCAATATATACATTATCACCATTAGATATATGACACATGTGCAAATTTTGAATTTCTTATGTATCATCCATCCAACCGTGATAGTGTATATAAAATTTACTGTAAACTTAATGGATTCGGATCTTAATATATACAGACGTATTTGATAACAAAAAATTAAACATCTAAATTAATTAAGTGATACTTAATTTTCTACAAAACTTGCTCCCAAAAATAAATGATAAGTTATTCACTTATCATTGAATGTGATATACACTCAAATATATTTGATTTAATATTAACAATTCAATAACTTAATGGATTTAAATTTCAAATTTTAGTTCTATCAAACGCACCCTAAGAGAAATAGATGACGCCAAATCAATAAAGAATTTGCTCCGTGATCTGCTTCATGAATTAAGGTTTATGGCACAGATTCCCCATCAATATCTTCAAAGCCTTGATTTGAAGTTGGTTTTCAAAATTGTCAGCTTGAAAACCCTAGGAATTTGAGAAATTGATCCCTTCGACTTCACTAAAATGAAAGTAATGGAAGATATTTCACCATACTCGAATCCTAGCAATCGGATCAATACTTGGACAGCTTTTGTACTCATAAAATCATCAATGAACTCACCTCAATTATAAGGAGAAGCCACACCTATGCCCAAACATCACAAAAGAAGTTAATTTGATCTTAGAAACCCGTGATATGTACGAAGCCTAACGAAAGCACAAGAGAGAAACAACCATAGCCATTCGTTCACCATGGAGGAGTAACTAAGGTAATGGTTATGCAGAGAATGAATAAGTAAATTGATTGAAATTGCAGTTTAATGGCCGAACACTATATATCCATGAAGAGGCAGAAGAAATAGCACCCCCTTCTACTAAAACAGGCTGGAATGCCCATATGCCTAGAGTGGGTGCTCTATTCAACAATACGGGATACCCCTACACGAAGTATTTCCTACCAATGAGTGAAAACCCAACTTCTTAATAGTACTTAGTAGTATTTAAGGAGAGCTTAATAGTACTTATGCAACTATCTGCAACTAATGTCTCAGAATAAAGAATAGAAAAGGATATTTTGCTTTCTCCAGTAGAAGGAAACAAAGTCAGCACTCAAACCCTAACTCCTTCTTATACCGTATAAGGATTATACTGTTTAGAAATGGTTATACTGCCCCTTCCCCTTTTTAAAGAAGACAACTCTTAGAATTCAACCTTCTAAAACAGATCCTCATGCAATTGTTAGTGCCTATGAATTCAACCTCCTAAAATAGTTACTCGTGCAACTGTTAGTGCCTGATCCCATCAACGACCGATATAAATTCAATGAATACAGTACCTAGTTTGAATCTATGCGACCTGTGTAAAATTTAAATTTCAAATTTAAATTAAGATTAGTTTTTATATATGTAGACCGGATAGTGTATACATTGTTAGTACAATAAAGATTATTTCATAAAACAATGTTGTAGTATGAAGGGTAAATAGCTTCTAGTATTTGCCTTCTCTATAAAGAAAATTATTATGTAGATTAAATTAGTACATTAAGGAATCTATTATTATCTTCTATTGGTAATTAGTTTAAATTCTTAATAACTACCACACCTACAATGCAGGTATTGCTTGTAGTATTTATGAAAATTAGTCCTAATAAACATAAATAGAATGGACAAACCATTATGACCATCTTAGAGATTGTAAAAAATGGGACAATAACAATATCTAAAAAGTAATGAAAACTAATAGTATATAAAACCAAATTACCTTTTATTGATTGCATTAGTGAACTTAACTGTCAAACTTTATATGTGTAATTCTACCGCCTAAAGTGCCGATGTTAATTAATCTAGATATTGAGCATTAGACAAAAACAACAATGCCAAATTCACAATTGAAACTTTATTTGGATTGGAAAGCTTACCTAATATTCAACCACGAAAAGCCAAAAAGTAGCTTTCAGATGATGACAGAGCATCTTGCGCCAGTTTGTCCTAAAATATTCTGTAGCTATATATCTTTCAACAAATCATTAGGAAAGAACTTGGCTTTTTGCCCAAAGTTGAAACAGAGACAGTAATGCGTCATTGTTTATATCATCTCTCTTGTCTATTATTTAGATAGCCAAAAGCCAATGCAATACGATTTATGCCAATTTTGCTAATGTCTTGGACTATATTGAAGAAGGATGTGGAATTATTTGACTATGTCTCTTTCACACCGCCCACCCCCCCCCCCCAAAAAAAAAAAGCGTTTTTATCCCCCAAAGTTGAATAAAAGACAACATGCGTAATTTTTATATCATTTCGTTTATTTATGTAGTTGCAGAACCCAAAATTACATACTACAATAGTTAATTAATCACGCATAAAAAAAATTAGCTTCAAATATCGTAATGTTTAGATAGCCAATACCTTTAGCGGCTACCAACTTATGTCATTTTTGCTGCCGTCTTGGACTACTTCAAGATGAATCTGATTATACCTCGCGGGAGTCATGCTTTTTTTGTTTTCTTTTTAATTTTCTTTAAACACAGGAAGAGTGAGAAGGGAGATTTGAATCCAAAATCTCTAAATTCGAGTCGAGCTCGGGCTTAAAAAAATAATTATTTTATTTTAAAAAATGAATAAAATAATTATTTTTCTTAATAAATAATAAAATATTAGGGATATACATGTAATTTTATTATTAAAATAATATATATATATATGTATATATATAATCGACCTCAAATCAACTCGTGAACTAATGAATTTAGTATTTTTGAGTTTGAGTTCGACTTGTTCAGTTTGATCTCGACTCTAGTTCGATGTTGACCAAACTCGGATTCAAATCATTCGCAAGTGGCTCGATTCGTTTGCAACCATACTCATAGTCCAATAAATAGCCTGCCAGGTTTAATAGGCTAAGCTTGGATTCAAACATGTATATGAATATTTAAATGAGTTGAACTCAGATTTGTCAAAGCTTGTCTGACAAAACTCAATTAACACCCACACTCACAACCTTCAAAACTCTTGAAGGTTATATGAGTCTTAGGATTAGGGGTGTCAATTGGCCTTTTATAAGTCGGGGTCTGGTAAGGCTGAACTCAATACACTTGAGTGATTAAGACAGGTAAAAGATTTAAGGTTTGGGGCAGATTCGATTGTGATGTAGGTGTGGTACAGTTGTTGGTTTCTTACATAATTCGATTTATACTAATATAGCTAACATAAATATGACTTGCGCATACCAATTCAGTGATATAAGTGTATACCAAATTTAAAAAATGGAAATAAAACGACCATATGTGTATACCAACGTCAATCATACTTCCCTCAATCCCAAAGGTTTACTACCAGTGTAAAGAGATGGGAAGAGAATTTTACCAGGATAATAGCTTTCATAGCATCTCTGTCAAGAGCAAAGCCCATCGTGTTTTCCTTTTTAATCTCAATCAAGTTATCCACAAAGTCTTGGCATCTTGCCACCGTAGTACAGTCACTTTCAGCCTCACCTTTCCCCTTTTTAATGTGCTCTTCTATCACACCCTCAAGAAATCTATCGATCTGTTTAACTGATTTCTCCACTTTAGAGTCCAAACCATTGAAGCGATTAACCCACGCAAGCCAAGAAATATAGTTTCCTACATCAAAAATACCCAGTGACTCAACAAATACCCTCAGATACTCCATACATTTCCTCCCATTTTCTTCCTCACTATACTTCCTCCCCAAGGCAACCCTGCAGATTATATCGTTTGTGAGAGTTAAAAACATGTGACTTGAGTTTACAGCTGAGGAAGAACAAGTTCGGCTGATCTTCTCGATCATGAGTGACGTCTCTTCTTCTCCAACATGTTGAAATCAGTGTTTTAAAAGGCGAAGACGTTGGAAAAACATTTTATTTGGGTGAAAGTCCCGTGGGATGTAGGCCCCACAAAATTTAAATTTTTAATAGATAAGAATAGATAAATATATTATAAATATTTCAAATAAATATTTTTATAATACAAATAAATACACCAAAATCATAGAGAAACTATATAGTGATAATAATAGTATTCAAAACATGGTAAAAATTCATGATACAGTAGTTGTAAGTACAAAAAATGATTAAATTTAATAAAAATCAATGATATTTAAAGTTAGTTTAGATATTTAAATATTATGGCATGTAATAGTACTATATAAAATGGTAAAAATAAAATAAGTTTTTTGGGTTAATGACAATTTAGATAACATGTGAGCTGACGTTTAAAAGTGAGCCAAAACATAAGGACCAAGATAATAGTGACTAAAAGTCCAATGCGTCAAAGTGCAAATCTCAAGACTCGTCTCCAATACTCACCATATGGCGAAAAAGCTACGTCCTTGCTTCCGTGAAAAAGTCTATCTGCGATGCTCGATTCAGGCCTGTTCACAAAGAATAAATCATGGGTTTTCATGATCTGGCGAGCTGCAGTATCAGAGGACGAGGCAACCAGCACTGGCTTGCTTCCCAGATGAAGCAGCATGAGCAGACCATATTTTATTGACAATTATTGGAGGGAGCGGTGTGGAAACAGGCCAAGTTGGTGAAGATTGCCAATAATTGGGAGCTTTGGTGGGGATGGTGGTAGCTTTTTCTGGGGTTTAGTAGCAACATAGAACCATTGGAGAAGGGATACAAGGAATACGAGCAAGGAATATGATCATGTCTTTGACTAGTAATGGTGCTCTCTTCTTATACTTTTTTTTTAAGCTCTTTTTACCATAGAAATTCCAATAAATCAGAACCACAAACGTGCATTTTGCAGAGGGGATGATTAAGTCAATACGTCATATATATAGGATAACCTAGTACGAGTACGACTGTTGAAGGTCCTGGGTTCATTCTATACAAATAAATTTTTACAAACTAATCTGATTAGGTCAATAGTTTTATTTCCACAAGTAGATCAACATACTTAAAAACCAAACTCATCTATGAACGTTTTGTTATTAAATTTGCACGAAATATTTGGACTGTACAAGATAGGTCAAAATTGGGATAAAAGCTTTAAAGTTTGATCTAATGGTAATATTTAATCAATTTAATTTTAACTTTCATATATACATTAAACAAGTGGAGAAATATATTATGGATAGTTTAATTTTTAAACATACTATTATAATTACAATTATTTATGTGTAATGGAAAGAAAATCCTATTTAATTAATGGAGATGAACCTAATCCTTTGTATGGGAGAATGGTTACATAGATGAGACAATTTTTAGGTACATCATGTGGTTTATTTAAGAGTTTGGTACTTTTTTCATTCCATTTTATTTTACTCCTCGTGACTTCTTTATGTCATCATATATTATCATGATTATCTATGGGACATCTCAATATACACCACAATCTAGAAGGACATCTGTCAGCCAAGCCTATCTCACAATTTCGAACAGCGAATGAACTTCTTTTGAGGGAAATTTCTCTTATCAACGTTTTGTTCTTCGTAGACACAAGAAATTCGATGTCTACCACAAAATTTGTATCAAATTTTCACTGGTTATGTCCACAAAAATAGATCAGGTGGCCGAGGTGGCTATAATCAGTAACCACATGCATGACACACGGTGGAAGATAGCAATAGTGGAAAATTATTTGGTAATCGTGTACAGATTATTTTGTAGCTTTGAAGGAAATTTGACACATATTTTCATACTAATTAAACTTTCTTGAATTCGTAGTAGTATTCCATAGTATAAATGTACTATATTCTTGTGATTATAGATTTTCTTCTAAACTTTTTAGCACTAAGTTTATTTAGAAAGTTTTCTTAAACAAATTTTGCTACCGAACATATTGCTCGATTAATTTCTTTTCGGTGCATTTGCATTATATCATTGAAAATTTTGCATTGAACAGTATTAGTACTATTGCAGCACAAACTGTGAAAACTCAAATGTTTGTTTAGATAAATACAATTTTTCAATCAATATCCATCCAAAAATAGATCGAGATTGGAGAAAGGATATACTATATTTACAGCTTGAAATGTGTGAGATTACAAAAAATTATATGCAATATCCAATATTTAAAATGAGAGTTAGGCACAAACATGGAAATGAGTTCCTAATTCAAATGGAGGGATTGATTAGATTATCACAAGCTGACAGCAGAAGCCTGTTATGGAAATTTTTAAAAATGATGCACCAAAAATTGCTACTATGTTGTGAATTAATGCTTCAAGCCCAAGACAGTTTAGATTTGGCAAAACATATTTAAGAAATCTTAGATTTAACAAGAAAACTAACATAATTAAAGAAATACTCCACACAAGAAAGTCTTAGAAGAAGAAAAACTTTCAGTAGAAGAATTTAGGGGGAAGAAACTCCAAATAGGAAATTCTAGCAGATAAGACATTCACTAGCTAGGAAACATGTGAACGAAAAAAATTGTAGATAGGAAGACCAAATAGAGGTAGAAGAAGTTAAACTGACGAAGGAGAAGTTTGAAGGAAAGCAGAGAAAATATAGTATAAAGAGAAAGTTGCTAACAAACATTTAGAATATAATAAGGGTTAATTTCACTTTATCCCCCCAAACTTTGGATTATTACCCACTTCAGTTCCTAAACTTCAAAATGGGACACTTAAGTCCCTAAACTTATAAATACCTCCTACTTAAGTCCCTAAACTTATAAAATGGGACACTTAAATCCCTAAACCCTTATAAAATGGGACACTTCAACCATCAACGGCATTCAGGATTTGTTAACAATTTTCCTTAAATGGGAGGTATTTATAAGTTTAGGGACTTAAGTGTCCCATTTTGAAGTTTAGGGACTGAAGTGGGTAATCGTCCAAAGTTTGGGGGGACAAAATGGTATTAACCCATATAATAATTTTATGTAATAAATATGAATGAATATGTAAGAATATTATTGATATTTTTTTCTTAAGAGCTCGAAATTAACTATAAATGAACGAAAATATACTCAAACTACTAGATAAAATGAACATTTGTCAATAGGTGAACTAGCAAGTACAAGATACAGTAATAATCAACTTTATTCAATTATAATTAAGGCACAAATAGTTTCATCTATTTTTAGAACAAGAAGATTTAATTAGACATAATAGATTTAACAATAAATCTCATTTTTTAACGTAACTAAGCATTAATGAAACAGCAAAGAAAGTAAAGAGGAAGAAACACTCATTCGAGTGAAGAAACAAAATCTCGAAGTTTCATCATCTTCATTGCCATCAAAAATACATTGTTACACCAAGAGCTCTTCAAGTTCTTCAAGAAATAAAAACTAGATCTACAACTGCACTAAAATAAACTAGAGAAGAAAAAGTTTTACTGCTTGTCAAGAGTTAAACTGTCCCTCCAATAATGTGTTTCTCTCTTGCTAAGAGTCAAAAAAAGAAACTCTTAGATGCCCCAAAAGTTGGTACAAGTTGCCCTTTTTTGTCTTGTCAAAAATGAAGAATGATACAAAAATCATGCAAGTTGGTAACTTGCAGCCATAACCAATCTCTTAAAGGATTCTTTCAGGGATTATGCAGAGCATTTGATTCTCTACTTTTCTTTGAAATGAATATTCTACCCATAATTCCTTGCAGAATCCACGGAGAAACCCTCGAGGGTTTCTTTCCTTTGTTTTTTGAACCTTTCTTTTTTCATCCTTGAGGTGAGGTGCACCACTGCTTTTTGACATTGTTGTGACTTCTCAAACTTTTACTCATTCACTTTGTTAGTTCACCATTTCATTTCCAATTGAGCTTCATCATTTTCCCTACAAAAAACAAAGAGATTTTGAGAGTAAAATGACAAAATCACAACTAATTCATCTACGATTTTGACAAAATTTGCACATTGGATCTCTTTCTAAATGTGCGCGAGATTTTACCACTTGCTTAATATTTTTTTTATAACTAAATGCTCTTCTAAGTTTGTTTATTTTTTATTATATAATTAGACCTTTTAACTTTCAAACTAAAAATATCATCATTATGTGACAATATTGGAGTAGTTAGAAAATTATTTTGTTTTTAAAAAATAAAATTATGAAAAAAATTATGCTATTTCCTTGAATATAAGTGAAATAATTTTGTTTATGTTTGACTACATAATTTATTTCTGTATAAATAAAATAAAATGAAATTAAGTCTTCTATTAATATTTATTTATATGTTCATTATATATCTTTTTAAGTACAACAATTAGTATCTAAAAAATTATTCTACTTTTTTATGTATACTAAAGTTATTATTTTGTACTATTTATATTTATAAATATTATTTAGTGATCCACCGATTCAACCAGTAATCCACCCATTGAACCGATGACTCATTGTGCTAGTTTTAATAATTATGCTTCTAAGTCTTGATGACTCAACTGTAATTACTAGGCTAATGCCTTCTCAGCATTGGCACTTATTCTCACTAATTATTTTAATCACAATTTCAAACTATAACCATTTCAAAATTATGTCCACAAGTCATGCAAGAATTTGTTTATTAATAATTAGAATAGAAGTTAAAGTCTCAAAAAACTAACTTAACTGGTAAAGACATTAGTTAGTTGACTGTGAGATCTCTAGTTCAACTCTCAAACTATCTACTTTCCCTCTTCTCCAAGATAAGGTTTGAAGTCTGCCCTTGAACCAAATAAAAATTAAACATTAAAATCAAAATTCTCCTCTTGTTCCACTACATACTTCACATAATTAATTCAATTCACATTTTGTTTCATTTTAGAACACTAAATATAATTATGTGAAACATAAAGGACTACATTGATCAAAACGTCAAACATTAAGAACTAAGAATACAAAGTCAAACTTTTGATAAAAGGAAATTTGACTCTAACAATTATTTATTTTGATTTACTGTTGGATGTTTTAAATTTGTCTAAAATAAAAAATTTTGGGAACCACATTCTTGTTATGGTTGAAACAATTGAGATGCCATACATTAGGGACTAAAATTATATTTGTCCCTCTTCCTCATATAAAAAATGCTTGCACTAGAAGAACATGCGAGAGAAATAAACTAGTATGAATTTTCAGGAAAGAGAAAATGAGTTTGTCTTTCTTATTTTCAATTTGAAATGTGATCATTTATAAAAAGAAAAAAATAAATAAAAGTATTGACAAAAAAAACAAGAGAAAAATATAATACCAATACAAATTTGGCTGTAAGAAAAATTGGGAAAAAAAAAGGACGCCTATATAGCTTAACTAAACATGACATAATTTTAAATTGAATATCTAATTGTCAGCAAAAGTTTAAATTTGATAGGTAAAAAGTTACACAATTCAGAATGTGAATGATAATGTTTGAATTTTATAATGGGTGCACAACCTATATTTTATATACTTATGGGCATAACAAAATAAAAAAAAACCTTTTAAATTATTTATTATAAAAAGTATTCATATTAATTTTTTCTATGAAAAGCTTTGTATTTTCATGTTTTACCTATCAAAACAATGAAATTTTCTAGTACTAGGAATGTAGTGTTCAATACATAAGAAAACAAGGTATATTTTTGTATATAGATTAGTACAGATATATATATTTTAGTGGGAGTAATTCTTTCCACTTTACCACCCAACCCAACTCTCCCCTAAAATTAGTACAAATATAATACCCTTAACAACAAATAAGTTACAATAACAAATTA